AAACCTGTTATGTCTACCTTGTAAGGTGCTGGTGTGTCAGAAAAACAAAAGTGGGGTGGGGGCTACATGACAGGATGCATATTAATATAGTTAATAATCATAAATGTTGCTTTTTTAACAGTAAATACCAGATTTTCTAAAAGGTCTAAACCTGGTGGCAATAAATAAAACTTCACATATTACCATTGTTCTTGTGTATTCTTTTTTTTTTAAGCATGTTGTGATGGGGGGGGAATGAAAAAAAGGTAAAGAAAAGAGGAGAGAAAGGAGGTGAAAAGGAGAAGGAGAAAGGAAAAAGAGAAAGAGGGGATGTCCCTCACCACTCACGTCACCCACCGCTACCAGCTGCAGCTCGACCCGTTGGTCCAGGGCAGTGTCTGGTGGAGGGAAGTGGTGATGCTCCAGCAGCAGCTGCCAGAGCTGGGGCAGTTAGGCCTTCCTGATGGTACTGGAGCAGGGGGGAGCCTGGGCCCAGGGCCAGTGGGGAGGGGCCCAGTTAGAGCATGGGCAGATAGACTCCCTGTCCCACTCAGGTGAGGGCAGCACCGGGGCACTGGGCACTTGGGGCAGGAGCCAGGTGATGCAGGGAGAAGCAGGCACAGTGGTGGGGGAGGCACCAGAGGAGAGCAGGGACTGGGTGGGAAGTGGGGGCTGCCCTGGGGCTCTGCAGACATGGACTGTGGTGGGTGGGCAGGGGTGCCCAGTGGCACTCAAGGTGGGGCCTGGCCCACGCAGGTCCACGGGGATGGGCTGCAGCCACCCTGCCTGCGAGGGGATTCTGCCTGGCCAGGGCAGGATGCTGTGCTTGGGGGGCTTCTGGCTCTGGGCTCGGTCTCCCTGCATGCCAGGCACAGTGTGAGTGGGGCAAAGCCACCCCTGGTGCAGGGGCCTGGCCCCAGGAGCCCCCTGGGCCCTAGGAACAGCTGCCACAGTTGATGCTCGGGGCTGAGCTGACTGGGAGCCTGCAGCGCAGCAGCCCTGTACAGTGCCTGCCCCAGCCCCGGTCCCTGGAGGGGAGCTGTGGGTGTGCAATGCTGGGGTAGCCACGGCAGCTGTTCCTGGAGCCTGGAGAGGCTCCCGTGGCTAGGCCCCCGCACCAGGGGTGGGTCTACCCCACTCATGCTGTGCCCATCATACAGGGAGGGAGAGCCTCATGAGCTTGGCGTCCTGCCCTGGCCAGGCGGTGTCCCCTCACGGGCAGGGTGGCTGCACCCAATCGTCACTGAACTATGCAAGCTGGGCCAAGCCCCACTCTGGGTGCCGCTGGGTGCCTGAGCCCACAGGGCCTTGCTTCTAACCTGGCCCCAGCTCTGCTCCAGCTGCCACCTTCCCAAGGGCGTGGCTGGGCTGGCCTTCCCACAGCGCCTGCCCCACATCTGTTTCTCCCTGTGCTGTCCGGATCCTGCCTCAGACACCCAGGCCTGGTGCTCGGCACCCCCCATGCTGCCCTTGCCTGGGTGGGATGGGGCATCTGTCTACCTGAGCCCAGGCCAGGTGCAGGGCTTTGCCCACCCATTGGGAGCCTCCAGCGCAGCGGCCCTCTGCAGTGCCTGCCTGGCCCTGGCTCTGGTCCTGGCTTTGCCCACCCACAGCTCGTCTCCATGGGCTGGGCTGGGTCAGGCTGCGGGGCACGGCTAGGGTTGCCAACCCTCCTGGATTGGCTGGAAGTGTACCAGAATTGGCATTCATCTTCTGTTAACTACTGAAAGCAGTCTTGGAGATTTACATTACATTAGCTGTTTAGTTAACATTATGTCATGTTGGGGGAAAAAAATCTCCCAGAATTGCTTCAGTCACAGTTGGCAACCCTAGGCATGGCGTGGGGGCAGCAGAACTCGGACTGTCCTTCCCTGTGTTCTCCTGACTCCACCCCTGGTGCCTGCCGTGGCACTGGCACCTTTGGCTGCTCTGGAGAGCTCTGAGCAGCAAATTAAAATATATATTTTTTAAACAATTTCCTCTCACGCTTCCTGAAGTGTGGGGGAAAACGTCTCCGCATGCCACTAATTGGCATGCATGCCAGTGGTTACCTATCCTTGTATAAAGCCTTCTTTCATAATAGTGTTTGAATTAGATTTTCACCTGAAAGTATTGTGGGACTGGAAAAGGAAACCATATACATATACAGATGATTCGATTTGGAGGAGGTTTGGCTCTATTCGGCAGCTGAATCTCCAAATAATCAAATTGGGAGACCAATTAAAAGGTCCAAATAGAATCAGAAGCCTCTAAATTGATTTGGAAAAATTCAGTGCTGTTTCAGAGATTCAGCCATAGCTGGTAAGTTGTTTGTAGTGCGGAGAGGGAAGGGGCAGGGGGGAGGAAGGGAGGGGCTGGGATAAGCTGCCCAGCTGGGGTGCAGGATACGGGCGCAGCAGTGCTGGGAGTGGGGGCTGTGCTCTGCT